CCTGGAGAGAAGCTCTCCAGCAACACCAAGCTCCACGACTGGTGGGCCACAATGACCTCAGACAAGAAATCTGTCCCTGCAAGTCAGCAAATTCAGTCCTTCTGTATCCCAACAATTCCAAGGAAGACCTGATCCAATTTGCAGAGTTTCCATGAAAGGACACTCACCTTTTCTGGCAGCTCTTTTTTTTGTTTGTTTGTTTGTTTGTTTTTCGAGATAGGGTTTCTCTGTGTAGCTTTGTGCCTTTCCTGGAACTCACTTTGGAGACAAGCCTGGCCTCAAACTCACAGAGATCTGCCTGACTCTGCCTCCCGGGTGCTGGAATTAAAGGTGTGCACCACCACTGCCCAGCCTGGTACCTCTTTTTAATCTAGGAACCCAATAAAATATGTAGCAATCACTCCATCAGTTGCCACATTGTCTCCACACTCCTTCAGGAGGAATAAAAAATATCTGGATTAAAGTTGCCATCTCCCTTTCTTGGTGGAGGCCACTATTTTCCTCCTATTCCAGGTTCCCACATTTTTAGTTTGTCATCCCATCTATATGTTACTCCATCCACAGTCTTGAGCCAATACCCCTTAGGGTCTCAAGTCTTACACAATGTCTTTGGAATATCCTCAGAAACTGAAGTATTCATCATGGCCAAACTGAGTCCAGTGTGTTGATACACATCATACCATGTGCTATAGTTGACCACACATTCGGTACAGTTTATCCAAACCTGAAAAGCTTCCCCAGGCTGCAAATTCTTTCCCATGAACTGTATAACTACCTTAACCCCAGCCTGGATGATCATCTCTGTATAATTTCCTGTGAAATTTACTTCACTCCTTTCCTGTATCACAGAAATCACCACTGATCTAGGAACACAGAACATGAAGATCAGATAGATGAAAAAGACTAGTATTACAAGGAGTATTTATATGGAGGAGGACATGACATGTGCATTCCATAAAGCATGACCTTGGGACACAGGCATTTCTGCCTTGGCCCTCTAGAGGCATGCTAAGTACAAGATCTGAAGGGGAACACAAAGAGGGTTGATGGTCCACAATCTTGGGTCCCCTTTTCTCCAATCTCTGCTGGCAGCATGTCAGCCATCTTATATGCAGTCCCTGGCACACCTACACATCTAATTGAACTCAAAGAATTCAAGCGGGGGCCAATCTAAAGCCTTCATCCCTACAGATTAGAGTTCATGGTACTGGAAGGTAACATGGACACTACAAAAGGAGAAAAGTAAAAACCAACCCAGCTGCAGACCCTTCAATCTACAATGGTATCCTGCCTGTAAGATATGCTAGTACAATAATGGCACAAACTTGTGAGTATAACCTACCAATATCTGATTTGATTTAAAGCATGGAATTCATACTGGACACTGCTTGCATGGTGAAAAACCTGAGTCTAAATAGGCCAGGGACAAAGGAGAAAATCAAATACTAGTGTTCTACTAAAAGAATGTAGCAATAAAATGACCCAAATGACACTCTGCTGGGCTCATTGATCTGTGTCCTGAGCAGCCATCATCAGAGAGGCTTCTTCCAGAAGCAGATGAGAACAAAGACAGAGACCCACAGCCGGAAAATGTGCAAAGAGTGAGAGACTTTGAAAACCTCAGCCCTATACTGGATCTCTCTATCAAATTCTTCCCCTCAGGGCCCAGAGAATTCTTTGGAAGTAGTGGTAGAAAGACTGGAAGAGCCAGAGTAGATGGAGGACACCAAGAAAACAAGGTCTTGTAAACAAAGCACAACAGACACATGTGCAAACTCAGAGACTATGGCAGGATGCACAGGTCTGAACCAGATGGGCTCCTGGATAGAAAGAAGTGGATGCATGCCCCCATCCCAAACCCGGAAGCTGTCTCCATTTGATAGCCACTGGCAGGTGAAACATTAGTTTTCACCAATGAGTCCCACTGGGGAAACAAACCACTCTTAAAGGAAGGCCTCATGCCCAGCAGCAGATTGTCAACACCAAATGAACTCAATGGAATTTACAGGCCCTTTGTATTTATGTACACATATACATATACACATTATATTATGACTTCTGCTTTTGTGTTTTTATGAGATTCCTATGTGTGAATTTCTGGTTCTTTATCTGTATGTGATTCTTGTGCTTTTTCTTTGGCTCTTTTCTTTGGTTTCTTTTGCCTTACTCTGATTTGTTTATGTTTGTTTTATCTAGTTGTTTATTTTATTATTATTGCTCAGATGCTTGGTTGTTTTCTAAGGAGAGGCAGAAATCTGGTTGAGAGAAGGAGAGGAAGAACTGAGAGGGGTAGGGGAGCAGGAAACCCTAATCAGAATATATTATAAGGAAAATAATCTTTTTTCATTAAAGAAAAACACAGCATTGAAATGGTGGAGTCTGGTGGTGAACAGTTCTAATGCCAGAGCTGGGGAGACAGAGACAGGAGAAGAACTGGGGCTACCATCTTGGCCTATTGGGTGAGCTCCAGGTTACAGTGAGAGAAGCTCGCTCAAAATAAAGAGGAATGGCACATGAAGAAGAAAATGGAAGGTTGTCTCCTGGTCTCCAT